AAGGAAGAACTGAAGGTGAAACTAGAGCTTTGAGTTCTTTTGATGTCATTATGGAAAATGAGGGAAATGGGGAAAGGAAGTTTAAGAAGTCAGTCTTTTAAAACAATGGGATAACAGTAAATCTTTTCAACAAAATGTAAAGTTAGTATAGGCCTTCCACCTAATACTTACGTAGTTTTCCTGTAGTGAGAAGCTCAAAGTATTTTGTAATGTACTCAATGAACAAGAGCAGTTTTTCCCAAAGAAGGACAGGATTTTGCTCACTGTTCCATTCGAAGTTGGAGCATTACCTAACATCAGCTATTCTGAGGGTTGTTAGTAAAAGCAAGTTGACTCTTTAATCATTTATATCTTGCCTGTTTCCAAAATGGATATTAGATGCTTATAATGAAGTATGATTGTTAAAATAAGGATAAAAAGTCAAGAGGGGCGCCTGGGTGGTTCAGTTGGTTGAGTATCTGACTTCGGCTCAGGTCATGATCTCACGGTTTGTGAGTTCGAGCCCCATATCGGGCTGGATGCTATCAGCCCGTCAGTCCAAAGCCCGCTTCATATCCTCTGTTCCCTTTTCACGCTCTCCCAAAAGTAAATAAATATTAAAAACAAAAAGTCAAGAGCCACATATACGTGAAGGACAAAGAGTGCTGTATGCTAGAAACCCAGGTTAAGGAGAGTTGTTGCACTTGAGCACAGAACTTAGTTTTCAGCTTTTTAGGATCCAAGGTAAAAATGGAAAAAGAAAGCTACCCACTGTGCTCTCAGAAGGTGAGTATGTCTGAAAGATTTTAGTTGCCCCGTGTCTGCACAGTGCTTAACAATGTTTGCTGAAAGAATGAAACGATTTGGGAGTTAAGGTCAAATTAAATTTCTTTTAAAACAAGTAAGGCTATTCCCTTAAAGAACATCTCTTCATAAAAAAGACTAGGTACTTAGTAGGTTCCAAGGAAGACCGAAAAACACGGAACAAAATCTAATGCCATTGCTTTCCTAGGCTAGAAATGGTAGCCAAGTCCATAAAACAAACTGTGAAACTGTGATACTGAAATTGTCCCTGTTTAAATCATGCCCTCTGCTCCAGTTGGCATAATGTTTTAAATGGCTTCCTCTCATAAATTTCCCTTACATTTGTGTCTAAACGCAGCTTAATTTATCCAAACCAGGTAAGATAAAACAAAGACTATAATATGCAGTGCTAAAGTTCACATGTGTGAAGATATAAACAGGAGAGATGCTAGAAATGCAGAGGTAGGAAGCAAGTAGGTAATTAAAGTGATATTACTCAAGGCACTGCAGAAAAAGTCAAGTTCTTACTGGGTATCAATGATTTTATATCCTATTTAACAAGTCAGGAAATAAATGTAAAATTACAGCACCATACACCATGAACAAACTCTTATGGGCGGAATAGTGTCCCCCTAAAATCCATATGTTGAAGTCCTAACTCCCAGTGCCTCAGACTGTGACTTTATTTGGAGATAAGAGTATTTGCAGAGATAATCAAGTTAGGATGAGGTTACGAGGGTGGGCCCTAATCCACTATGTCCTTAGAAAAAGGAGAGATTTCGGGGTGCCTGGGTGGCTCAGTCAGTTAAGTGTCCGACTTCAGCTCAGGTCATGATCTCACAGTTCATGTTTGAGCCCCATGTCGGGCTCTGTGCTGACAGCTAGCTCAGAGCCTGGAGCCTGCTTCGAATTCTGTGTCTCCCCCTCTCTCTCTGCCCCTCCCCTGCTTACACTCTGTCTCTGTCTCTGTCAAAAATAAATAAAAGAGGGGCGCCTGGGTGGCTTAGTCGGTTAAGCGTCCGACTTTCGCTTAGGTCATGATCTCGCGGTTCGTGGGTTCGAGCCCCGCATCAGGCTCTGTGCTGCCAGCTCAGAGCCTGGAGCCTGTTTCAGTATGTGACTCCCTCTCTCTCTGACCCTTCCCTACTCACGCTGTCTCTCTCTCTCTCCTAGAAATAAATAAAACATTAAAAAAAAATTTTTAAAAATTAAAATAGATAAATAAAAGACTAAAAAGAAAAAAGAAAAAGGAGAGATTTGGAGACAGACAAATGTGTAGGGAAAACTCCATGTGAACATGAAGATGGCTATTTACAAGCCAAGGAGAGAGGCCTGGAACAGATCCTTCTCTCACAGCACTCAGAAGCCAATCCTGCCAACACCTTGATCTCAGACTTGTAGCCTCCAGAGTGGTGAGAAAATACATTTGTGCTGTGTAAGCCCCTCTGCGTGTGGTACTTTGTTGTGGCAACCTTAGAAAATGAATACAAACTATTTCAGCAGGGCGGTTACTTACATTTAGGGCTTTGGTGTAGGGAACTAAAAGCCGAGTGCTTCCAAACCTCTTGAAACATAAACGCAGTTGTTATTAGGAAAGGAAGAATTACATAAAAAGAATAGTTCCTGCAGGCGCCTGGGTGGCTCAGTCCGTTAAGTGTCCGACTTTGGCTCAGGTCATGATCTCTCAGTCTGTGAATTCCAGCCCCGAGTTGGGCTCTGTGCTGACAGATGGGAGCCTGGAGCCTGCTTCAGAGTCTGTGTCTCCCTCCCTCTCTGCCCCTCCCCTGCTCACACTGTGTGCCTCTCTGTCTCTCAAAAATAAACATTAAAAAATTTTTAAGAAAATTAACTTCCATGATAATCATCTCACAATAAATACCTAAGTCAAATCATTACCTTGTGCATCTTACACTTACACAATGTTATGTGTAAGTTACACCTCAATAAAACTGAGGGGAAACAGAAAATTAACTTCCAGCTTCATTTTCTCAAGCTCTCTAATACCTAGAAAAAAGCTAATAACCCCAGTCAAGAAAAAATTATCCATTAACTGACTACTAGGAAAGGGGCAGCTTAAACCACATATCTACTTAAATGTAGACCCAGAACCTTATATTGATTTGGTGTGTGTGCTTATTTAAATGTGAAAGAAAATTTATTCAAATCAGTTTATAGGAAATACAGGAAATAAAAGAACATATTAGACAACATCACATGGAAGCAGAATCAGAATGTGGGGTAGTCTACATGACAAATGGCCTCGTTTCTTCAAAAAATAAGTGGCTCAGAACAAAAACAGGAGTAAAAGGCTGTTTTAAATAAGAGACCTGAGAGATCTTGGTTGAAACATGTCTGAATCAGTCAAAACAGATACTTTTGAGAATAAAAATTTTAACATGGACTAGTTATTAGATGACATTAAAGAATAACTTAATTTTGTTAGATGTAATGATGGCACTGTGATTACGCAAGAAAAAAGTCCTCAGAGATTCATACTGTGTGTTTATGGGCAAAACAGTATCAGGGATTTACTTCCAAGCATCCTCCTCCCCAAAAGGTTAATGAGTTCAATAGCTAAAAAGAAGTCATGGTTAAAGAATACATATAAAGAAATATGCAATTTAAGATATCTAACAGGGGTGGCCAGGTGGTTCAGTTGGTTGAGTGTGTGAATCTTGATTTCAGCTCAGGTCATAATCTCACAGTGTGAGACTGAGCCTCGTGTCAGGCTTTGCACTGACAGCACAGAGCCTGCTTGGGATTCTCTCTCTTTCTCTTTCTCTGTCCCTCCCTCGCTCATGTTCTCCCTCCCCCCTCAAGTATCTTTTTTAAATGTTTAAAAATTAAAAATAAAAAGATGCCTATCAGACCATTAAGTTGCTGAAAATAAGTTAATTTTCCATTCAATCAGTACCCAGATTGGAATATTTCTATTTTCCCATTGAATTCACTTCCTACTTGGTTTCATTTTAAATGTTTATGTAACATATATTCTGTCACTATGGAAATAGAGTGCCTTATGCTTTATATTACTAAATGCTAAATGTATCTTGATTTCAAGCTTCATAATCAAATAGCAACATGTAATCAATTTTTAAATATTGGTCTCATTTAGGGGAAGCAACAAGGAAAATTGCACAGATAAACCAAAGGTCACCTCACCTACTAGTTTTAGGTTCTTCTGAATTTCTCAAATAGCTCCATGCTTACAAAGACAATTAAAGAACGTTTTATTCACTAAAAAGCAGAAGAATCTTTTTACCATACTTTTTTGCTACTGGATGATAATCTGGACCTTAGGGAAGCCATGGTGTGAGAGGGTAAGAGGGAAAGGAAGCAGGAGTTGGAATCCTAAACACCAGGCTCATGAGATATTATAGCTTTTTTGCCACTGAAATATGGAAAAGGGAGCTGGAAAGGAATCCAGTGATTTGGGGCTAAATCTGGCTCTGACATTCACTAGCCCTGTACATCAGGTAAATTACTCAATTTCTCCCATCGTTTAGTTTTTGATCTTATAAGGCTGTGACAAGATAAAATGAGACCACAGATGTGAAGTACCTATGATAGCGCTAAGTGAATAATAAGTGCTCCATAACAGTTAAGCTCCTCTTGAACAAAAGTCTGCTTGTAGTTGGGTCAGAAAAATCCCACCACCTGCGGAGGAGTGGTGATTTGATCTTTTGAGTTCTGTGGCTAATCTTTGGATAATTAAAAGGTTTAACTGTGTATTAGGCATGTGCTATTAAATACACACATGCACACATACACGCCTGCACGAAATGTAAACCAGTGAGGTACAATGTGTCCCTGAACTCAGATCACTAAGAAATGAACACAGAATGACAGCATAAAGGTGTTTAATCTGTCAAAAAAAAAAAAATTCATCTGACAGTTTAAAAAAAAAAGTGATAACTATGGTTATTATGAACCTAAAAAATTAATTTTTCTATACAGCGTTCCTTTTCTTTGAGATATCTGAAAGAAGCCAGATTCAAGGTAGACAAATACACAGTCTTTCTGGAAACTATCAGTTTATACCCTGAGGAAATATAGGACTCCGTAGTTGTTTTTGTTTTAAAGGAACCATTCCTGGAATTAAAAACAGAATCACATGTGACCTCACTTGGAATTACTGAACCCTAGGAATTTTTTTTAAAGAAAAATAAAGTTTCCTTTTCTTACTGAACAGCTATTAGTTTTGAAAGTCTTCTTACCTGCTTGATTTGGTGAAGGCGACCAAAGGAAGTATGAATGGGAATGGGAATGGAAGAAGGTGGCAAAAACTGAAATTTAAAATATAAAAGTCAATACCCGAAACTAACATAACATTGAATGTTAGTTAATACTTCAATAAAAAAAATAAATAAATAGAAGTCAAGCTGGCTTTAATGATGCTGATTATTTCTTTTTTTAAAAATTTTTTAATGTTTATTTATTCTTGAGAGAGAGCGAGGGAGGGGCAGAGAGAAGGAGACACAGAGTCCAAAGCAGGCTCCAGGCTCTGAGCTGTCAGCACAGAGCCTGATGCAGGGCTCCAACCTACAAACCGCAAGATTATGACCTGAACCAAAGTCAGACACTTAAGCGACGGAATCACCCAGGCACCCTTTCTGAATAATTATTTCTAAACATGAATTAAGTCAATGTTGATTTATCTAAAATATCTGAGTGCCTAATCTAACAGTATTTGTTAAGTTTAAAATTAGAGAAATAAAAAATCCAACTGATTCTTGATTGAAAATTACAGTAATCAAAAGCCTATATATATCAGAACAGAACAAAACAACTGTTAACACAATAAATACAGAGCAGAACATCAATAGAACATTTTGTTTATCTCTACCTTCCCTTTCCCAAGGCACTACATCTTAAAATCATCTTATTTTTTTCTTGCCAGTTTTACCTTGCAAAACAAACAAAACAATCCCATCAAATATCCTGGAACCCTGCTGAGAAAAACATACTTTCATAACATAGAATGATTTATGGCAATCATTTCCCAGTAGCTCGCTGTCTAGACTACTTTTTCCCTTTCTGTCTTATGTCAAAGCTTATGATGACCCACCCAAGAGAGAAATTAAAGAATGGAGGGATTTAAAGCTAAGTGTGAAAAAGAGGCTTGAAAATTCTTTAGAATTCATTTATCCATTCTACCTATATCCTGGTTAGTCCTTGAAATGCCAGATAATGAATCTACCATATCTTACTTTTACATTAAAGAGCACTCTGAGTGGTGAATTTGGAAATACTTAATGAGGTAAAGCGCTATGTTAGACCCTGAAGATCCAAAGATAAATAAAACATTTTCCCATCCTTGACAAATTCAAAGTGTAGGTGGGGAAAACTAGGTCAGGGACAGAACGAGTTATGATAAGTGAGAAGTCAAAGCACAGTGACTACGTACATCTTTGCCTGGGGTCCTGGGGAAGCCTTCCCAGAGGAGGACATGAATTCAGTGGACAAAGAGGAAGCAGGGTATTTCAGGGAGTGGGAAGAGAAGCTCAGGCAGAGGCATGTTTGGAGAGCAGAGACATTCTGTTCAGGGTGGCTGAAATGGGGTACATGATAAAGTATGAAAGGAAGCAAATTTGGGGAAATTTGGCTGAAACCAGATTGTGTATTTTGGACTATAGCCTTTGAGCCCAATAGGAAACCTAAAGCATAGGTCCTTCTAAGCTCTTAAAACTCAAAGGTATTTTAAATGTTTATTTATTGAAAGAGAAAGAATGTGTGTGAGTGTGTGGGCGTATGCATGCATGAACACGAGGGGGGCAGAGAGAGAGAAAGAAAAAGAGACAGACAGACAGACAGACAAACAGACTCCCAAGTAGGCTCTTTACTGTCAGCGCAGAGCCCAAAGCAGGGCCTGATCTCATGAACCATGAGATCATGACCTGAGCCAAAATCAAGAGTTGGATGCTTAACTGACTGAGCCACCCAGGTGCCCCTCAAAGGTATTTTAAACAATATCATATCTGTTTTGGAAAGGCAATCCTAGCAGCATATACAGAACAAATTGAGGGTGGAAGAAAGAGGGACCAGAGGCAGGATTAAAGACCAGGTAAAAGATGAGAGTCTGAATAAAAAAGGGTGGGAGAAGAGAAAGAGACAGACTGGAGAAATTATTAGAAAGTGAAGAGGGGCACCTGGCTGGCTCAGTCAGTGGAGCGTGCAACTCTTGATCTCTGGGTTGTTGAGTTCGAGCCCCACATTGGGAATAGAGAGTACTTAGCAATAAATTCTTTAAAAAAAAGAAAGAGTGAAAAGAGCTCAAGATTGGCCGGAGGTTCCTACCTGAAACCTATCGGTGGGTGGTAGCCAGGAAAGGAAGGAAGAGGAGTGAGGTAAAATGTGGGGAGAAGATGAGCGCTCAAGAAAGGTGTGTTGGACAAAGAAATGTTTTTATGAAGTAGCTGGTCTTAATTTTTATTCGATTTAAAAACATATCATATGACTTTTTAAGGAGCATATTACCTCACTAGTCATATTTTGCTTAAGAGAGTATTAAAACCAGTTTGTTTTTTCCTAATCATTTGCTAGAAGGTGGAGGGAATGGTGAAAGTGGTAGAAGTAACAACAGAAAATTGATATGCAGTAACTGAAAATTCACTATGTCTAAATTACATTTGACAGTTAGCCACAATTACTTCATCATAATAATTCACTGACAGACAAATAGGGCTAACTCTTAAGTATTTCAATATTTACTGGCCCCTTATTAGGTTTAAGGAACTGCTTTTCTGCTCAGAGGGGAAGGAAAAATGAAAAGAAAAACTAGTAGTAAGCCATAGTTATTACCCACAGACACCTTACAATCCAGACATGAAAGCAAATTATTCTATGAGAGACAAGGAAATGAGTGTTAGATAGAGGCAAAGTGGGGTGGGAATAAAAAGCAAAGATTAAGGGAATGAGCATAGAGAGTGGGAGACAGAAGACAGATAAGGCAAAAGGCGGCATTTGAGTTGGGACTTGTAGGGCAAGGAGTTTGACAGCATAAGCAATAGAAAAGGGAAAGTATATGGCATGTTTTAGGAAATATGTTTTAGGAAAGACTGTTAGTTTTGTGTGAGTGCAACACCAGGTATCTCTGGAAGGATAAAAGATTCCAAGGTCAAGAAGGCAAAGATGCTGGAAACCCTTGAATGACACACTCAAAAAATTTAACTGTAGCAAAATGATCTATTTTAGTATATACATACGAGCAGATGATATCTAACAGCACTGTCTATTTAACTTTGGAAGAGACACACTCAGATATTCATCAGCTCTGAGCCTGGTTCACTCTCTGTCCAGAGGATGGATATAAAGAAGGAGGTATTGGGATACCTGGGTGGCTCAGTAGGTTGAACGTCCGACTTTGGCTCAGGTCATGATCTCACGGCTTATGGGTTCAAGCCCCGCATCAGGCTCTGTGCTGACAGCTCAGAGCCTGGAGCCTGCTTCCGATTCTGTGTCTCCCACTCACTCTTTCTCTCTCTCTCTCTCTCTCTCTCTACCCCTCCCCCGGTCATGCTCTGTCTCTCAAAAATAAATAAACATTAAAAAAATTAAAAAAAAAAAAAGAAGGAGGAGGAGGTATCAAAGAGCCCATGACTGCTGACTGGCCAGAAATTCAGACTAGCCTGTTCTAATCATGTTCCATGGTTGACAGTTCAAGAAAATTCCTAATTCAAATCAATAAGGCTACTACTAGGTGACTCTTCTTACAAAAGTCAGGAAACTTTTCTCCATAAAACTTGCATAAAAGGGATAGGTTGGACATATAATTTGTTGCTATGAATAATGTAACAAGACTTTCTCTTTCAAGCATCTGTTTCTATGAACTGTGATAATGGTGATAATGCATGTAATATGCTTGACAGAATGCCATAGTATGTGCTCAGAAAATGCTGACTATACCACCACTACCACCAGTATCAGTACGATCATCAAAATATTTCTAGAATTCAATGTTTAATAACATATCAACAACCACTAGAATTATATATGGTAGCTTTATAAGACTCAGATATCTATTCCTTCCTACCCAGCATTCTTCATTCCTTTTCCCATCTGATCTTTTAATTAATTTATTTTTAATAGACTTTATATTTTTAAGAATAGTTTTAGGTTCACAGCAAAACTTAGTGGAAAGTATAGAGATTTCCTCTATTTTCACATATGCATGGCCTCCCCTACTATCAAAAGCTGAGCAAAAGTGGTCAATTGTTATAATAGATTAACCTAAATTGACATCTCATCGCTACCCAAAGTTCTTTACCTTAGAGTTCACTCTTCATGTTATACATTCTATGGATTTGGACATATGTACAATGGCCCATATCTATCATTACAGTATCGGACTGAGTATTTTCACTGCCCTAAAAACCCTCTGGTCCACTTATTCATCCTGATCTTTTTTTTTCCCCAACAGAAACTGACTTTTTTCTCATGATAAAGCAATACATGCTCAGTATAAAACACAATGGGGAAAAACCTAGCGACACCCACCATCCAGACATGACCACAGCAAATATCTCAGTGTTTATTTTTCCAGACCTAGATCCTACCACACATACTATTTTGCAGTTTGGGTATTTTTTTCTTCATAATTTAATATTTCCTGGCTCTGCATCTGGGGATGCTTGCAGCTTTTGGCTCCTGGGCCAGCGTCTATAATAATGTCTACTGTTCATGAAATTGTGCACAAACTCGGCTTGGAGGGTGACAACTCTATACCTCCAAATGCATACAGGATGGTGAAAACATACACCAACTTTGATGCCAAGTGGAATCCTTTGAACAATGAAATGGCATCAAGACTAAAGGTGTGGATGAGGTCACTATCATCAACATACTGACCAATCACAGCAATGAGGAGAGAGAGGATACTGTCTTCGTCTACCAGAGAAGGACCAAAAAGGAATCTGTATCAGCACTGAACTCAGCCTTGAATGGCTAGCTGGAAAAGGTGATTTGGGGCCTACTGCAAACACCTGCTCAGTACGAGGCTTCCAAGCTGAATGCCTCCCCCATGAAGGTGCTGAGGACTGATGACAACTCCCTCACTGAGATCATCTGCTCAAGGACCAATTAGCAGGCTACGAGGAAATGTACATGACCTATCTGGAGAAAGACATTGTTTCCAACACATCTGGTGACTTCTGCAAGCCAATGGTTGCCCTTGCAAAGGGTAGAAGAGCAGAGGATGGTTCACTGATTATGAACTGTTTGACCCTAGATGCCTATGATCTCTAATGCTGGTGTGAAGAGGAAAGAAACTGACATTCCCAAGGGGATC